GTGATGTTGGCTTCATAGAAAGTATGTGGTAGTTTTCCTTCTTTTTCGATTTTTTGGATGAGTCTGTGTAGAATGGGCACTAGTTCTTTTCTGATTGTTAGGTAAAATTCATTAGTAAATGCATCCAGTCCTGGGCTTTTACTTTTGGGGAGGGTTTTGATTACTTCTTCTATTTCCTTGCTTGTAATTGGTCTGTTTAGCTGTTCTATTTCTTCTTTATCTAGCTTTGGGTGGTTGTAGAGTTGTAGGAATTTGTCCATTTCTGTTAAATTGTCTAACTTGTTTTCATATAGTTGTTCATAGTATTCTCTGATTATTCTTTTGATTTCTGCTGGATCTGTTGTGATTTCTTCTCTTTTGTTTATGATTCTGTTTATTTGTGCTTTCTCTTGTTTTTTCTTTGTGAGCCTGGCTAGTGGCCTGTCTATCTTGTATATTTTTTCGAAGAACCAACTTTTGGTTTCATTGATTTTTTTGGACTGATTTTCTAACATCTATTTCATTTATTTCTGATTTAACTTTTATTGTTTCCTGTCTTCTACTGGTTTTTGGGTTATTTTGTTGTTCTTTTTTAGTTCTTTAAGGTAGGACATTAGGTTGTTTCTTTGAGTTATTTCTTGTTTCTTTATGTGAACCTGTAATGCTATACATTTTCCTCTTATAACTGCTTTTAATATGTCCCATAAGTTTTGGAGATTTGTGTCATCGTTGTCATTCTTCTCCAGGTGTTTTTTTATTTCTTCTTTGATCTCCTCATTGATCCAGTGATCCTCCAGTAGTGTGGGTTTCAGTCTCCACATGGTAGGTGGGTTTCTTGTCTTACTCATATGGTTTATTTCTAGTTTTATTCTTTCATGGTCAGAGAAAATAGTTGGTATGATTTCGATCTTAGTGTATCTATTGATATTTATCTTGTGACCCAATATGTGGTCAGTCCTAGAGGATGATCCATGTGGGTTTGAGAAAAATGTGTACTCGATTTTTTGGGGTACAGTATTCTATAGATGTCTGTTAGACACATGTTGTCCAGGTCCTTGTTCAGAGCTTTAGTGTCTTTGCTTATTTTTTGTCTTGTTAATCTGTCCATTGTGGAGAGTGGCATGTTGAGTCCCTACTATGTATATATTTTCTCTGATATACGTTTTCATAGATTACAGTAGTTTCCTGATATATCTTGCTGCTCCTTCATTTGGTACATATATGTTGATGATTGTTATGTCTTCTTGTTGTATTATCCCCTTAACCATAATGTAGTGACCTTCTGTGTGTCTCTTTTAACCTTTTTTAGTTTGAAGTCTATTTGATCTGATATAAGTATAGCAGTTCCTGCCTTCTTTTTTGGTCCATTTGCTTGTGTAACTGTTTTCCATCCTTTTATTTTCAGTCTGTTTTTATCTTTTGTAGTTAGATGTGTTTCCTGCAGACAGTAGAATGATGGGTTCTGTTTTTTAATCCATCCTGCAGCTCTGTGTCTTTTTACTGATGAGTTTAAGCCATTTACATTTAGGGATAATATTGATATACTGGCACCTACATTTGCCATTATGGTCCTTCTGTATTTTTATTCCTTGTTTTGAACTGTTCTTGTTCATTCTTCTATTGCATTTGATTTGAGGGCTTCTTGTAGTATTTTTTTTGATTAGGGGTTTTGTCATGTCAAAATTGTAGAGTTTCTGTTTGACTGAGAATGCCCTTATTCTTTCTTCAGAGAAGTCTGATGTCATCTGGATCGGTTTCCCTTTATAGGTTATTTATTTCTTCCTTCTGGTCATTCTCATTATCTTTTCCTTGTCTTGTATTCTTGGAAGTTTTATAATAATATATCTTGCTGTTTTTCTCCTCTCATCATGGTAGTTTGTTGTTCTTCTTTCTTCTGCGATGTCTACTTTCATCTTCATATTAGGGAAGTACTCTTCTATTATCTCTGTGAATATTTTCTCTATTGCTTGGCCTTTCTCTTCACCTTCTGGGATACCTATAACTCTGATGTTTCCTTTCCGAATGGTGTCAGATAGCTCTTGTTTATTCATTCCTTTACCTTTTTACTTCTCTTTCTTTTTCATTTTTAATTCTCTTAGTTTCTGTGTCTTCAAGAGTGCTGATTCGTGCTTCCATTTCATCTATTCTGTTTTCATTACTTTTCCCAGCATTCCTTATCTCCTCTAGTAGCCTTTTCATCACGTGCAATTCTATTTCCTTTTTTAATGTCTCATTTTCTTAGTTCAGTTTGTTGAATGCTTGTCTCATATAATTTTTTTTCTTTTTCATTTCTTCCATTCATTTCCTTGTTTGCGTTCTTCAACTCCTTGATGATTTGCCTCATTTCATTTTTTTCCTTCTCATCTTCTTTTTGTTTGTTTATCATGATGATTCTGAGTTCCTTATCTGGTAGGCTGAACATTTCTTCTATTTCTTTGGTGGGTTTTGCTGACTGATCTTTTTGTGGTAAATTTTACCCCTGTGGACTTGGCTTGAATATTTTTTTGTCATCTTTTCCCTGTCATGTATTTTCTAATACTTACTATTTGTTGAAACACAGTGTTGCTATTATTGACTCGCATTTTTTCTGGCTCTTCTCTTTGGGATGGCAGAGGGGCTTCCAGACACTTCACTTGTGGAGAGTATTCTGAGCCTTGTTTTGTTTCAATATCTCCTGTTTTTCCAACCTCTAGTGTGTGGAATTATGCTTCCAGTGATGCTCAGGGGTCTCTTGTGGTGTTCAGCTTCTTCTGGAAATTCGTTGAGTCCTTGTCTGGAAGGTGCCTGTTGATCTTTATAGCCTTCTGATGTCCCGGGTTCCCTCTATGCTTGAATGTAGCCCCGGAGGGTGGGGTGCATTAGAAGTGTTGCAGCTGGGCCTATGATTGAGCCAGTCACTGGTTTTGTTTATTTTTTGAGCACTGTGAGTTTTGCAAGGCAGTGCCTTACTGGCTCACACGTCTTCCAGCCACTGCTGTTCAGTAACACCTTGAGTCCTAATTCTGCACATTCCCCAGTTTTCCAGGCTGTCAGTCCTCCCTCTACACCTCCAGGCCATCTCTCCCTGAGCAGTCTTTCACTACTACTTAGGGGAGTATTAATGGGTCTGTTTTGATTCAATCTAACCGTTTCTTTTTTTCCACCCTTTTAACTCAGGGGCTTTGTGAACTTGCTGTCCCCACCTTAGTGACTAATACCGGGAACAAGCCTCCAGGCCTATGCTGTGGGGGTGGATGAAAGGGTTGCATGCCTTGCAGCTGCCCTCTTCACCAGATTACCAGATTTTCTTCTCTACCCCCCTGACTTTATGTGTCCACTTGGCGCATTCTTTCTCCCCCCTCCCCCCCCTTGGTTCTACTCACCGAGGGGGAAGCCTCTGTCTGCAGAGCCGAATGAGGGGGAAGCCTCTGTCTGCAGCGCTAGAGCCTTGGCATTCCCTCAATCGATCAGAATTTCAGTGTTCCACTTATCCTGTCTGTGGCGCTTCCAGATAATAGTTCCCTTATCAGAACTCCCCAACTGCTGATTCTCCCTCAGTTATCTTCCTTCTAGTAAGTCCAGGGTTTTCTCATTTGGGTTGAAACTCGTAGCATGTAAGTCTATAGTCCATTTTTATATATTCCCTGCTAGCCTGGATGTAGTTGTCTCAGCGTCTTTACTCTGCCGCCATCTTGCCCACTCCTGAGCTGGTCGAGCTAGTCCGTCAGTGGCTTTGCCCAGTGCTCAGGTGCTCCAGATCAGATCTGTAGTCTTTCTTCAACCTGGGCTCCACTCACCGAGCTAAGACATCTCCCTTCACCTCCAGGACCTTACCGAGGGGTAAAAGCAGCTCCTGCAGTCTGCCAAAATTCCCGGAACCTGAGCCCTCCCAGAGTGGGGGACTTGCTTTTAAAAAGTAACTTACAGCTGCCTAAAAGCAGCACACTCTCACTCAGACCTTTGTGTCTTTATACATGCTGTTCCTTTTTTTAATATGTGCTTCTCTCTCTCTTTCTTAACTGGGAAATTCCTACTTGCTACTTAAGACTCAACTCAAGCATCATGGTACCTGCCCACATCTTCATATGTGCATTATACATTTACACTTGTGCTTACTTGATCTTATGCCATTTTATCTTTCTAGCCTAGCTTAGTATCTCCAGGTACTTCCTGTGGCTCATTGACTGAAAGACTACTGAGACAAAATGCTGAACTGACAGGACATATCAGTCAACTGACCGAAGAAAAGAATGATTTAAGAAACATAATTATGAAGCTGGAAGAGCAGATTAGGTGGTATCGACAGACAGGAGCTGGCAGAGATTATGTGAGTATTTTTTGTATGCCTACATCTTATATTACAAGTAGTAATCCAGAATTACAATTTCTACTATCTAGTTTCAATGTTTAACCCTGATAATTGAAAAATGTTAAGTGTCTGATTCTTGGTAATATCAATGACAAATATTTAGAGGGATAACAATAATAATGTTAGCTGTTATTTATTGGGCATTTTCTCTGGGTTCAAGGTTATATATATTCTGTGTATTTAGTCGACACCCACCTTGTACATGAGGAAATTAAAGTAAGTAGTTAAACCAGGATCTGCTATTCTCTAAAACCAGTTTCTTGTTAACTGTGTCCTGACAGCGGACATATATAAAAAAAAAATACTAATTGTGACTATTTTCTTCAGTTACTTTGTTCATGCTGCAGAGTGAAAGGTATCATTAAATTATGTATTCAGCCTAATAAACTATACTGAAATTTAGAACCCTAAAATTTTTATTTTCCATTCTTTACATTTCACAAAAGCTAAAGGACTGGAGGGGAGGAGTTGGGGATGAGATACCATGAGGGCATAAGGGAAGGGGGTATCCAGTGGACTGTGGTGGAGGATTATAGGTGCTTTGGTAATATATACCTGAAGAGCTCTGAATAGATAGCCCCAAATTATAGGCATTGTTGTAAACCATGTTACCTCAATAAAATGTCGCAATAAAAGCAAAAGAACTATATACAAAATAAATGCTGACTTCTAGAATCAACCAGTATAAATATAGGAGGGACCTCTAAGACAGCGAAATAGTCAAATACATGATAACCAAGTAGCTTTTGTAGGGATTCACTTGCCAATATATGTGCTGCATTGTTTTTCCCAACTCTCCCATGCATTATTTCAGGCTCAACATTTGGCCCCAAATTGTCCATCTGCTAATCTTTTGAGGTATTTTTAGTTCTATATTTTAGTTCTAATTTAGAAAACTAAACACCTTCTCTGGAGCCATACTTTCTGAAGTAATTTTACTTGCAAAACTGATCTGTTCTGCAAAGGACCATATACTTAGAATTAGTGTATATTTGTTAATGTCAGTTGAGATTGGCTTTGAACTTTCTTTGTCTAAAGTTGGAAAATTAAGGCTTCTTATATCCCCCTGGGGGCTACCTTTAATATGTTTAATTCAGACTTTACTTCAGAGACTTGTTCTTAAAAACTATGTAACAAGGCTCTGTTCTCTGTAGTCTTCTAGAGTTTCATTCAGCGGTGGTGACAACATTGAAGCCATCATTGCTTCTGAAAAAGAAGTCTGGAACAGAGAAAAGCTGGCTCTCCAAAAATCCTTGAAAAGGGCAGAAGCCGAAGTGTACAAACTGAAAGCTGAACTAAGAAATGAAGCATTACTTCAAAATCTGAGCCCTGATTCAGAACATGCCACTTTAAAGGTGGGAACATCTTCCATCTACACATATATCAAAATTGGTCCTCTACTTTTCCCTGTTTCGTGTCACATGATCTTACTCGAACAAAAATTTAAATGGTCCTCAGGCTGGGTCTGTAGTCTCTAATTAGTCTGTGTGGCGAATGCAGGACTCTAGGTGGTCACAAAATAGCTGGTAGTGATGCAAACCTAGCCTTCTTTGGTGTCATAGTGGCAGCTGCCTAAGCATGGTAGTCCCACTTCCCACAGTGGGAAAACAACGGAAAGTTATCTTGTCAACTCTGAACCACCATTCTAGTGCTGTCCATAATGGAACATTATGCTTTATTACATATAAACCCTCTGAATAACTTCTCAAGTGATTAATAATGAATAGTACAGCAAAGACACTTTAATCAAGTAACATAAAAGCCAAGAAAAATGTTTGTAATAGTTACGCCAGTATCACTCTTAGAGAGATGAAAGGCATTAATGATAATGTTAAATAGTTTAATGACCATAAAGGTAGTAGCTCTATGTGGTTAAAAAATGAAACCTCTGATGATAATGGAGTAACAAAAATATTTTCAATATGAGTAGGGACTATTATCCAAAATAAACACAAAAGCATAACTACAACATGAGAATTCAGATTCAGATTGACTCAAAAGGCAGAAGTCTGTAAAGGTTAAGGTTAATTATCTTTCAACTTTATTAATAAAATAGAAAGCAGTGAGAAGACATTTGCCATTCTACTACTCTATTTATAAATAAAATGTATGTTATCTTCCCCTGGAGTATAATTTGAATGACTTCTTAATAGTGTCTTTACCTCCCTTCTCTTCTTTAAACATAGAGAATTTATGGTAAATACCTGAGGGCAGAAAGCTTTAGAAAAGCTCTCATTTATCAGAAGAAATACCTGCTGCTGTTACTGGGTGGATTCCAAGAATGTGAAGATGCTACCCTGGCTCTTCTTGCCCGGATGGGGGGGCAGCCGGCTTTCACAGATCTAGAGGTCATCACCAACCGTCCAAAGGGCTTCACCAGATTCCGGTCTGCTGTTAGAGTATCTATGGCAATTTCAAGGTAATGTACTTGAAAGAAAAAGCACTTTAGTAGATGCTCTAAAAGGATGAGTTCTTTGGAATCCCTTCTTCTTTGTTTGTTGTGCTCTGACGTCCTATATTATGAAATCTTTGCCATCAGTACAACATGCCCAGTTCTTTCTGTGTTTTCATTCTTTTAGCAAAAAATACTTTGTTGTACCACAGACATCCTGTAAAAAGTCTTTTCAGATGCAGAGAGCTGGTGATTCAGAGTTTACACACCAGTCTGGATTGTTTTTCAAAAAAGAAAGAAAGAAATCTGAATGAACTAGTTCATATATTACTGTCAATAACAGAGAAAATTGTTTTTTGAGAAATTACTTAGCCTAACATATAGTCATTTTCATTGCTAAAGTGACACAATCAGGCTTAGTTAGAAGATGCCTTTGCCTAACTCTGCAGTCAGGTCAACACCTTTAGGATATTGGACTCTATTAGTTTCTCTATCACTCTTTGTCTATTAATTCCAAGTTAGGAACTCTTGTAGTCATTCTGTGGTCAAAATGGAGCCATGATTCAAACTACCTTGATTCAAGATTCAAACTACCTGGTCTACTACAGTCCTCTTGTCTAGTTAGCATATACCAAGACACCTGTCTTCTCTATGCTTCCCTCCTTTTTATTTCAGTAGGAGCCAGAGTCAAAAAGGAATTTGATTTTTAACTTCTTGTCAGGTTATCTCAGGTGCATCTTCAAGGGGAGTTGTCCTTTTTTTTCTTTGTGTTTTTCTTTGAAAAATATCACCCAGAATAATCTAAGTAGAAGTTGTCTGAGATACCAAGTCTAGAATGTAATTTCACAGATGAGGAAACTGGGCCTGAGAAAGGTTACAAAATCATAGCATTTCAGCTCTCTAAAAAGAGCTCAGGTTTTATATTATTGCTAGTCTTGGACCGCCCCCCCCCCCCCCCACTGCACACTATATTTTCATGGTTCCAATTCCTCTTTCTTCATCTTTCATTCCTGTATTAACTCATACACTTAACTATAGCAATAAATGTCAGGGACACGAATTGATGAAAAAGACATGATCCCTGCCTAAAAGGCAGCCCATTTTGTAGTGAGAAAGACTGATATGCATGAAATTTAGAAGACTCTAAATGAGAGGTCACAGGATTTAGCCATTAATTTTGCTTAGAATCTGGGATGATTCCATGAAACCAAGTTTCCATTGAATGACTTCACTCTGTCGTTCTGTCTCTCTCTTCTTACCATTTTATATATTCATAGTGTTTTTTTTTTAAGAATTATTTATTTATTCATACAGAGCTGGGGTACAGGCCAGAGATGTGGAGGGTGAGAGGATTCACCAGGGACAGAATGGGGAGCAGAACAGGCAGATCAACGAAGTACGCTGCTGAGGAAAGCAGCGGGCCGGTCAGGAGAGGTCTGCCTCTCCATGTGGATCTGCTCCAGGGCAGGTGGGGATAGAACTCATGCGGAAGTGGCTTAAGCTTCTTAGCACAGTGCTTTAACCCGCTGCGCCACCAGGGAGGGCCCTATTCATAGTGTTTTTGACCTTTCTAAAACTGAGCCTTGAAACTGATTGGAAGTAAGAAATCAAAACTATTGCTAAAAAAGATTCCTGGCTCAAGGATGGGGCAGGTAGCAACTTGCAGCATGTGGTTTACAACACTGTCAGCCCCATTTCTTTTGAAGTCAGCATTGTTTTTTATGCCTGATTGCAAGGCTTCACTTCTCTTCCAGCGTTCTCAGATCATTCCTACTGCCAATTTATGGATCTTTTCTTCTCTTTCCATGTCATCTGCCTTTTATTCTCTTTTCATTATTTTTCACCCTTTTCTTTGCTCATCCACTTTTCCCCCTCTCTTGTGTTTTTCATGTCTTTGTGTCCTATGTATCTCTAAGAGTAACACCTGACGCTGTCAACACAAGAGGCCACTAGTGCCTCTTGGTAAACCCTGTTCTTCTGTTGCAGTTAATTATGCAAGAAGCAAGGAACATTTCCTTATTTTCAGATTAGGCCATCATGAGATTACATTGAAATTTTTTCTCTGTTGTTAAGTAAATGATTCTTGGGGAAGTGTGTGTTTATGCTTTTAGATTATAGATGTACATGAAATATTTTCTTGGTATCTTTTAGGATGAAATTTTTGGTTCAACGGTGGCATCGCGTCACAAATTCTGGCTCTATCAATATTAATAGGGACAGCTATGGACTGCATCCAGGTGAAGTCATCTGTTTATATTTAATGTTTATGATTCTCTAAATTACAGCATGTGTAATACCTTCCAAATAATATATTCTGGAATCTGTTTCCAATGACGGAAAGCCTTTACAAATAACAAAGCTGGGGACCTCAGTATTTTTAAAGTGTTAAAATACCTGATTTTTATGGAGGACTTAGTCTGTTCTAGACCCTGTTCTTTACATGTACTGTTCAATCCTGTCAGGTAAGTTCAGTTGCTATTATTCTCACTTTTTATAGCTGAAAACCTAAGACATGAAAATAATTTGTCATTTCCCACGGATTTCCTAATAGGGAAAGTCAGCATCCAAACATGCCAGCCTGACTTTGAGCCCACTCTTTCTAGGACTGTTCTTAGGGTCTACTTCAGGATAGAGTTGCTATTCATCAAGTGGAAAAGTATTGGTTTGACTTTTCAGATTCTGAGTTCACTAATAGATTATATAATAATGGTAACAGTTAAAATTCCTTCTCTTTGTACCAAGAAGTAAAAACAAGCATTAGTTTGAGTCATAAAGATCTGGTCACAAGCTGGGGAGCACACAGTGTTACCAATACATGTATAACTCTACTGTGTATTGGTTTGAACCTACCTTCACATAGTCTTCCAGTAGCTAAGCAGCAAAGAAAGGCTCTAAGCAAAATATTTTGAAACACACGTCCTTAAGCTGAAACAACTGAAATTTGTGCCAGTTATATGCTTAAAGTTACTAGCAAGTCTTGATTTTTCATGTTCTTTTTTTCCAACAAAAGTCAGTAGAGCAATGATAAAAGGACTTAGTTACATTATCATGATGTTTTATCCACATCTTTTCTCCCCCAAAGTACACACACTCACCCGTCACCTAACCTCTAGTTATAACGAACATGAGTTTTTGGGCAAAAAAAACCCCTCCAGTTAAGTTTTTCTTGGACTTAAAGCTCCACATTTTCATAAATGCTCAATTCAAAGGTAAACAAAATATTTGAAAGCCAAACTTTGTCATTCTGTTGTTTCTTTCCTGTAACAAGAAAATTACTATAATTAGGACAGTATATATTACAATTATCGTTCAAATCCTAATCTGTTTTATAGTAGTTTTTCAAGAGTTTGTTTTTTGGTTGTTCTTTTTTTTTTAACAAGATGCATTTTGTATTAATTTAGGTGCTGAAAAAACTGACTCATTTTATCATTCTTCTGGTGGGCTAGAGCTATATGGAGAGCCACGGCATACTACTTACCGCTCAAGATCAGATCTGGACTGTCTTAGGTCTCCTTTACCATTTCAAAATAGGTAAGACTGAGAAAACATGCTGGAGTAATTAACAGAGAAAAGGCACTTAACAGGAAAAGGGCAGTGTTGTTTGGACTTAAAATTCTTTTGCATTAAAATAGTTAGATACAAGATTTAGGTATATGTGTTCAACATAATTGCAGAATGAGCCAGAAATAGTTTTGTTTTGTTTTTTTAACTTATTTTCAAGGATCTAGGAATTAATTAAATCAAGTATTATTTATTAAGTACCTCTTTGACAGATGTACTAGACATCATTTTTTTATTTTTCACTTTTTTTATTCCTTCCCTTCATGGGACTTTATGTGCTGGACCTTCCTGGGATGAATTTATTGAAGAGTTGTTTCTTTTTAAACACCACAAACTCAGAAGCATGGCAGATACAGATTGGACAATATGCTAGTGGTCTTCCTTTTGATTGCAGGATAGAGGAAGATTGGTATTACTTGGATTGTTCCTATATAATTTGAATTTATGTTCATGTTTTTAATCTTATACTAGGTACACAGGCCCTTCAGCAGACTTAAATCCTGGTTCGCTAGCATGTTCTCAGCTTCAGAACTATGATCCTGACAGAGCCCTGACAGATTATATCACCCGGTTAGAGGCACTACAAAGAAGACTTGGAACTGTACAGTCAGGTACTCAACTTAACCACGTATTGGCAGCACCATTGTATACACCTAGAACTCTTTCTTTCTTGGAAAGCAACTAAACTTTTGTTAGAAGAATCAAATTTTATAATTGGTTACATAACTTATCAAATTTAGGAATTTAAGACATAATTAATCATATTGGATCTTACTCTTCTACTTCTTCTCCCTGCCTTTGAAAGGATTCTCTGCTATTTTCATTCATCAGATTGATTAGATGAAATCCAGAATGATCATGACTTTGCAAAGTCTACAGTGTCTACTGGAGAACATGTTCTAAGTAATATATACTGAGACATGCAAATTAGATTTGGCAAATGAGTGAAGGAAGCAACTTAAACACATAATGTAATCTTTATCTGTACTGGGACCTTGTGCTTTTATACTACCAGAAATCTATTCCTGGTTCAGTAAACTGTACTTAAGTAGAGTCCCTGTTCGTTGTGGGAAAACCTCCTTTCCCAAATTTTCTCTCAATTATTTATGTCATTCTTATTTAAGCCAACACACTTTAGGTTAATCTTTATATATTTACTTTGTTAAAAGGCCCCCCCCTTTTTTTTTTTTTTACATATTAGCCCTGCAAAATAGAGCTAATGGCAGGTTATTTTATTAATCTCTTCCTACAAAAAAAAAAAATCACCAAGCCCAACCAACTTGTAATTATAGGAAACTATCATCAGAACTGGAGTGTAGTTGGTCAGTTCAGTTTGATTTTGAGCTTCCAAATATGGTAAGGCCTAAATTTTGAAAACTAAAAGATTTTTTAAAAAGCAGGAGTTAATAGAAGCATTCATCCTATCCAGGGTACTTTAAACAGAATCTTAAAATTATTCTCACTTATTTGCCATAGTGACATTTAAATATATTTTCCAAATCTCTTTTAAAAGATCAGTTCATGAAGTAGTCTGTTACAGGAAGTAATTATATTTGAAATAATTTTAAGTGTTGTGTTTTTCTCTTACAGGTTCAACTCAATTTCATGCTGGCATGAGAAGATAATCCTTTAAAATATCATGAATCGAAATGATTTTAAACAAATTCCCTTTTGTAAATCAATGGTTATTTTGTGCTTTTCTATTGTGAATATCCAGTGGGGGACCAATATGAACACAGCTTCTTATTGTATACAAATCACATGCCAGCACATGAAAACAAACTGGAATTTGTACATATAAACATTATGTATTCATGCACAATAATCATGAAATTACATGTATATTTGTGGAATGCTAATTTAAATGATTAAATTATAAACCTTGTGTATTTATCAGATGGGTAAAAAGATAAACTTTTACGCATTATGATACTGCTGAATGTGTAGCTTGAAGTGACCTGCACTTTTCTTATAAGGCTACTGAAGTTACATATTTCTGCCTAATATATTTGCTACTGGTGATGAAGACAGATAATATCACTTGTAGAGACCTATTTTTGTATAATGGTAGAAGTTTTGAATTTTATGGGGTATTTTGTCAAGTACTGAAATAAAAATGACTTCACCATTTTGACCACACTGTATTTGAACTGCCTTCTTTTTTAAAGTGGTATATATCTTAGTTTGTTCATGCTGAGAGGTTCATAAACAACAGAAATTTATTTCTCCCAAGAAGGCTGAGAAATCCCAAGATTGAGGTGCTAGCAGATGTACTGCCTGGTGAGTGCCTGTTTCCAGGTTTATAGACTTACTGCATCCCTACATAGTGTACGGGGTAGGATGTTCTCAGAGATATTCTTTCTGAAGGACTTGAGATTATGGCACCAGAATGACTGTGCTGGAGAGGTTCTGCACTTTGCTCCTGGAAGTAACAACTAACAGTTAACAAGAACACTACTGAAGAGAGCTCTGTAGTGACTTCAGCATGAACCGTTAGCATCCCTTAGACATCAGTAATCAATACAGACTACACAGAAGAGCATGACACTTCATTAACAGGAGGTAGGTGGAGAGGAAATACAGAAGACAGCAGTGCAAGGTGGGTGACTGAGAGTAACAGGGCTGTTAGCTCAACCAGGTGCCCTAGAGAGGGGATAGCTGAAATAGTGCTTCAATGAGTATAAAAATATGGAGGATCTGGGATGCTCCACACAGGTCGAGCCTGGGTAAGGAAAACAGAGGAGGAGCTCTACACAGTATTCCCCCTCTTGTCCTGCCTCAGGACTCATACTGGACCTCACGAAGCACACATTGTAAAATGTCCAGTCTGGAGCCCAGAGAGGAAGGGTATTGACGGTGCCACAAATATGTAAACCATATGAATGAGTCAACCCTTACCCACACCCACCCACAGTGTGTTTGCACCAGCAGCTGGACATCTGCAGACTTTCCCCCACCTGATAACTCAGAAACTGTAAAAACAAATCTCAGTACCAGTGTAAGTCTACAGAGGCCAAAAAATAAAATCAAACCATGGTACAACCTGCAAGGAAAGCAGTTCAGCTATTTAAGTTTATGCTACAAGTATTTTTTAAGGGAAATTTAAGAATATAAAATTAACAGACAAAAATAGAACACATGGCATCTTGAGACATTAAAAGACTATGACATCACAAGAAAAGAATAATGCTCCACAATCTAACTATAAAGAATGGGAGATTTATATCGCCCTATCAGATACAGAATTCAAAATGGGTATTATAATATCAAAGAAGGGAAAATAATTCAGAAAAATAAATGAACTCAAAAGTAATAAAGAGAAGGTAGAAATTGAAATTTTAAAGAATAGACATTCATGTGAAGAACTCAATAAATGAGATCAAAATCTAGAAAAGATCAAATGTAGAGACAAATCAGCGACCTTGATGGTAATGCACAGAGGATCTAGGCAAAACAAGAGAAATAAGATTTTTAAAAAGGAAAAAAAAACCACTTTGAGAACAGAACTGTTGAAGACAGAGAGAGAAAATACTCAAGTCAAGAAATTAAGCATCCCAGGCAGACAAAAGCTGAAGGAGATTGCACATACTGGATCTCATAACAAAATTGTTGAAAGGCACGTACCTAAATTGAAAGGAAAAAATGCACAAAAATTTTTAAAAAGGAAATAGAAAGCTAAAGACAGCATGGCAGTTAGCAAACCCTAATTTGTCAATCTGTTTAAATGGACTGAACTTAATAAAAAGGCATAGAGGAGCTGGTTGAAACTTCCTGCTACATCAAGGAGAACTACTTGAACTACAAAGATAAACATAGACTCAAGTGGTACTCGACAAATGCAGGAACAGTCAGACATCACATAAAATAGACTTCTATAGGACAGGAACGGACTTAGGATTTGCAATATCAATACGTCAGGTGAACATAGCACTCATCAGTTTACAGGGCACCAAATGAAGGAATACCAAAGCAGTGTAAAAGCAGCTCTTAACCCTAAAAACAAGCATTGACAGCAATACCGTAACAAGGGACATCCCCACCTGATTTGATCATCAACGGACAGATTAACCAGGCAAAATCAACAAACGATATAACCTTAAGTGAGTAATTACAGCAGATGGGAGACAATATTTGCACATCTTATACCTGAAAAGGATTAATAGCCATCTACAAAGGAACAAGAAAACAATTTAAAAATTGGCAGAAAATTAAATACTCCAAAGTTATACTGAAGGGAAACGTGAAATTTTTCATTATGTCTTAACAAGGAAATGCAAATCAAAAGGAAAATGAGATTCCACATCACATATAAGAGAATGACACATTAAAAAGTCCAGAAACAGTATGTAGTGTGGAGAAAAAAAAGAACTGATGGTGAGCATGTAGTTTGATTCAGGCCCTATGAAAAACAATATGGAAGTTCATCAAATCATTAAATACAGATGACTATAATTTTCACTCCTAGGTATTCATCAGAGGAGTAAAAAAACTTAACACATTTAAGATATACCTATATATCTTGGGGTCTCCCTGGTGGCGCAGTGGGTTAAAGCACAGCACAAAGAAGCTAAAGCCACTTCCACATGAGTTCAATCCCCGCCCTGGAGGTGACCCATATGGCGCGGCAGACCTCTTCTGACCATCTGCTGATCCCCTCAGCAGTGTACTTCGTCCATCTGCCTGTTCTGCTCCCCATTGTCTCTGGTGAAATCCTCTCACCATCCCTGCACCTCTGGCCTATACCCCAGTTCTGTATGCATAATTAATTCTTTTAAAAAAAAATACCTCTATATATCTTAAATGCATTAAGATATATATATATAATAAAATACTCAGTTTTTAAGATAAAAACTTACCATTTGACCTGGATGGAGCTAGAGATTAAGTGAAGAAAATCAGGGGGAAGAAAATACTGGATTCTTTCTTTCATATGTAGAGTATAAAGAAAAAGCAATAGACAAAACAAAACCAAAACGAACCCTTGAAATGACTGCAGAATTGAGACTACCAGAAAGAGTGGGTGGGTAGTTGGGAGAAAAAGAGGAAGGGGACCCAGAGGACTAAGGTGGAAGATCACTGGTGTTTTGGTAATGGACATGGGTATTATACTCAGTTTTAAAACAATGTTAACCTTATCAGTTTTAAATCAATGTTAACCTTAATAAACTATAATAATGGGTTTTAATCCCATTCATTAGAGCTTCACCCCCATTACCTAATAACTTACCAGAAGACCCACCTCCAAATACCAACTAATTGGAAATTAGGTTTCAACATGTGAAGGGGTTGAGGTACATAGCCAGTTTTGGGCAGTGCATATTATCCTATTACCTCAAATTTGTATCAATTTTATATCTATGTAGTGTTTTTAAAAAGCGGTGTGCAGGGCCCTCCCTGGTGGCGCAGCGGGTTGGAGCACAGCACTGAGAAGCTTAAGCCACTTCCGCATGAGTTCGATCCCCGCCTGCCTGCCCTGGAGGAGACCCACATGGCGAGCCAGACCTCTCCTGACCCGCCCGCTGCTCCCCTCAGCAGTGTACTTCGTAGATCTGCCTGTTCTGCTCCCCACTCTGTCTCTGGTGAATCCTCTCACCCTCTGCATCTCTGGCCTGTACCCCAGTTCTGTATGAATAAATAAATAATTAAAAAAAAAAAAAAAAGCGGTGTGCAGAGGAATTCCGGAAGATGGCAGCAGGTAAAGACGCCGAGACCACTGCGTCCAGGCTTGCCTAGGAATTGAGGACTGAAAACGGACTATAGACTTACTGCAAGTTTTAACCCAAATGAAAACACCCTGGACTCACTAGAAGGTAGATAACTGAGGGGGAATGAACTCCCGGGAAAACCCAGGTGCCTGGAAGCTCAGCAGGCTGCAGGAGCCGCTTTGCCCCACGCTAAACCCTGGAGGTGAAGAGGGACAGCTCAGTGAGTGGAGCCCAGGCTGCGGAAAGACTGCAAATCTGATCCTCAATACCTGGGTGAGGGAAAAACCGCTGAAACTGCAGAACCCATCCGGAGCACCTGGGAGCAACGCAAACCTGCTGATCAGCTTGACCAGCTCGGGAACGGCAAGATAGCGGCAGAATAAAGACGCTGAGACGACTACATCCAAACTCGCACGGGATTATATAAAAACGGACTATAGACTTTCATGCTACGAGTTCAACGCAAATGAGAACGCCCTGGACTCACTATAAGGAAGATAACCGAGGGAGAACCGGCGATTGGGGAGTTCCCATAAGGGAAGCCGCACAGGCAGGATTAGCTGAGCCCTGCAACGCTGATCGGGGAACGCCAGTGGCTTCCAACTCGCTCGGCTCCTTTAAAAATCTAGGTGCCCAGATGCCAGGAAGCTCTGCAGAGGGAATCAGCCTGGGGCGGCAGCTGCGGCTGCTCAGCAGCCTTTTGTCCTAGCCCTGCTACAACCCTGGAAATAAACTGAGACAATTCAGCTAGGGAGGGGAAACCAAATCATGGGAAAAGGCTGTGGCTCAGAACCAGAGACCGGAGGATACGCTGCAGACCTGTTGCTGACCTTTGCCCCAGCAGCCCCAACAAAGCCCTGGATATAAACTAAGAGAACACAGCTAGGTGAGTGGATCCCAAGCTGCTGCGGGGAGAGGGGTGGGGAACCCAACCACAGGCCCAACCCTAGGATAATGCAGCAATTTTAACAATCTTGCATGGGCACATTCAACATAGAGAGGCCCTAGGAAGTGCCTCAAACGGGGAGACTTGCTGAGGGGTCTACCTGCTTATCACATCTACCCACAAAAACTGGGGTAAAAGTTTAACTGGGGTTAAAGAGATACAGCTGGGCTCTGTGAAAGGACCTCAGGCAGGGCGGGAGGCACTGCTCAGGGAGGGACTATTTGGACTAAACAAAAAGAGCCCTGAAAGCTCAAAGGGAGGAATGGCAGCCTGCTCAGCTGGGAGGATTTCAGCCCTCTGGCACTCTCCTGCACTCCTGTGGGGAGGAGGAGATCCCACCCCCACAACAGAGACCCGAAGACTTGGGAGCCAGAAAAGCTCACAGTACTTAGAGTGTAGACAAAGCCAGCCACCAACTCAGCCAAAGGCCCAGCTCCAGGGAGACCTACAACACTTCTAGTTCATCATAACCAACACGGGCACACCAA